AAGCACTTATTCTATTGAACCATTTCCCTGGCCCTGTCTTGGTTTTTTGTTTTAAATGTCCTGTTTTAGGTCACAGTTGACAAGCAAATGGACTGACTTTACATCCAGTATATCCTACACTGAAGACCAATGCCCCAGCAAATAAATGCAACCCACAGACTACTGTGTGATATTTGGCTTTACTTTATAAAAATACACAACTTAAATACATATGACACTCTGTATACAAGACATAAACAACTCGCAGACTTAACATTTTCAGTTACTTCAACAGAAAGCAGATATATAAATTGCCTTGTAAGAGCAAAGAGTTTATTGACAGACTGCATTCACTCTCAAAAGGGGAAGGATGCCCAGGGAGCGATCAAGAGGGAGGCTCTTCCAAACCGCTCAACTCCAATAAAAGGCATCATGCCAAGAGGCCTCTATTGCACAGTTTAATATTGCACTGCTCGTTAGACACGATCTAACTTATCCACATCACAAGTGAAAGCTTTTGTCCTCTCTAGCGATATTCAACGAAAAACTCAAAGTCCAGACAGCATTGTGTCTTAAAATTGTGCTCAATACCAAGTATGAGAAGTATGAACCATCCACTTCTTCGCTTTGCAGTCTTGCAATGGAAAATAGCTCCATTTTGCAGCTAAATTTATTTTCCAAAGTTTTACAAAAGCCTCAAAGTAAAACAAAAGTTTTACACAAGCACTGACATACAGAGTGAGCCTGACGGGGTGCAGTGGCGAAGGAAGTGGCATTCCCAGGCCTACTGAGCTTCCGTGTTCCAGGGGCAGTGCCCTGGGAAAGGCAGTTTGCATCCAGCTGCCGGCACCTGCCTTCTGGCATGATACAGGGAACCCCCTCCCACTGTGGCTCTGTCTTCCCTCAGTGCAGCCCTGCCACAGCCCTGCCACATCACTGATTTCACCCCTGCAGGGGCTGCCCATTTGTTCACTCTGGTGATCTATCAGACATTTAGCTGCCTTCTCTATGGCTCATTTAACTAATAATGGGTCAGGTACTAGTGCACAGGTCTAAGGAAAGCTTTACCACTTGGGGATTAAATAGATGAGAATATACTAACGTAAGTTTCCTGAGATAAATGCAAGCTTTAAAGAATGGTGTGCAAGCTATTGAACTCTAGCAGTTTATCTTAGGTAGCAACACGAAGCACCCCAAGTCTGGACTTCAAAATTAATAGGCTCATAAACTCAAGGACACATTTATATGAAGAGATAAAATGACAGTACTAAAGCGACAATTCAAGAAGAGGCACACAGGCAAACAGAGAAACAGGAGGAGGGAGTATTTTAAAGTGCTTAGGTAGGTTGGAAGATTAAGTGGAAATGCCTCCAGGGATTTTTTAATGAGTTTAACAGTGTTACTTCTGGTGACTCAGATGTAGAAGACATGGCTTTTTAGTAGTAATAGCTGTTCAAACTTTTCAGTCCTCTTTGAAAAACAGGATTTTTTTATACAAACGTTTTAGCCATGGAAATTACTCTGCTCATTGTCATTCTCACTGATGTATTTTTGAAATCATCACTGGCTAGGAGAACTTTTAATATGACTGAACTTCAAAGCACACATCTGCACCAAGAACTTAAATGAATGCATAGAGATCTGCAAAGTTTTGCAGGATGCTAGTACCGAAAGACCTTTCCATTGTAAGTCATGCTTTGCTATTTCTTAACAGCCTGCTGAAGTATTATGAAAATTAGCAATTCTAGGACTTCAAGGCTTAACTTTCATATGTTAATACTTTGCATACATGAAACAGCATATGGCTGTTGCACATTAATAAAGAAGGCATTGGAAACTGAGTCCCAAGACCTAAGAATCAAGTCAAGGCTGTATTTGACAAGTCACTCATAAGGATATGAATGGAAGCCCTAGAAAATTTCCTCTGCTATGGCTGCCCATCTGTACAATGTAGTTGAATGAGGTGATGGACTGACAGTTTACTAACCATGATGAAGTCTGGCACCAAGAGTCACATAGAGCCACCTGCCTGGTGGCTGTCCAGTCAGTTTGGGCAGACCCTGCTACTTATGACCCCTTCTTCTATGACTCCTATATTCTGCTACAAGAGCCAACCAATGTCGAGGACCTCAGGCAAAAGGAAGGGCTGAAGCAAAGCTAGGCCCCAGCAGAACTCTGGGATGGAGTTCTGTAGTACTTGACACTACAGAGGCCACCAAACTGCAGTGGCTTGGAATATAAGAAAGTGACTTTCTTCTTAGGTAATACAGTACATGCTACTTGGCAACCAATAGAGAACAGCTGTTTAAAGTTCACAGAATAGCAACATCTTACATACTTCAAATCTCCAGTTAGTACAAGTGGTTGCAGCTAAAATTATGAGTAACACAAAGAAAATGAGGATGTAATGAATCATGTAAGAGACAGCTCTGCGAACATGGTAGGAAGTGTCAGCCCTATTACTTGATCCTCATTCATCCCTGTATCCTGAGGAGGAAAATGTGGCACAAGAATATATTCTTCTATGTGAAATTAGTTTTTATAACCTGTAGTTAAAAAATATGACTATTTAGAAATGTGGAGCCCAAGCAGAAATTACAGAGAGTAGTCCCCATGCGTGCTTTACAAAGTTGACCACTCTCTGGTCAACTGGGCCCATGTCAAAGTCTGGAGGGAACAGAGGGGAGCTGTGGCTGGAAGCTAGTAATTCAAGGAGAAAAAGACCTGATGGCAGATGTGGAGTACCTAAAAAAAAAAAAGAGGGAAGAGGGTAAGGTAAGGAAGGAGAGAGAAACTGAATAAGGTTGGTGAGGAGAGGAAGAGGCCAGGCTTGCTCAGGAGGACCCTGGCTCTGCCTCTTGCCTCTGGGAAATGATGAGGAACTCTCTGTCACTCTCGTAGGTCCCCCAACTGCCCTGCAAGGCCAGCCTAGATCTGGGCCTGTGGGGGTATCGCCTCCAGGACTCTGAGCAGGGTGTAGGCGGTGGATGGAGTGGGGGCGTGGGGACTGATCCTCACTCCCAGGTATGTCATACCCTCTTCTGTTGAACCTCTGTGGCAAGAGAAAGGCCTCACAGGCACAGGAGGGGCAGAAAGAGCAGCAGCACTGGAACTCTCTCTGAGGACTGGCTCATCTCTCCCCCTGGTGGATGGGTAAGGCAGGAGAGTGAATGTCACAGAAGGGCTGTTCAGTTCGGGACTGTGTCCTTCACTCCCCAAGTCCTCTGGCTGCCCAGAGTTCAGTCAGACTGATGTTTTACAAAGGACCACCAAAACTCTCAGTTCAAGGAGCGACAGGGAAGGTCACATCAGGCTCTCATGGGTTTGGATGTTATCTGTTAGCTTGTTATTTCTCTCCCATTTTTGTTTTTTTCTCTAATGATAAATTTAAAAAGAAAAAGAAGGGGGGGAAATGGGTCTTGCTCTTGTGTTCTTCCCTCTAGGAACCCTGTGTCCCTTCCCAAGAGAAGCACCAGGGATACTGCCACTACCGAGCTTGGGGATTATCTGACAATGGGAAATGGGGTATGGCACACATGGTTTCTTCACCTCCTACAGATGCAGGTCATCTCGCTGTCAAATGCCTGTAAGGTGCTAACAGGCCCCAGGTCTCTGATTTATACATGACAGCACATGAGTGAACAGAACAGTGAGACTTTGTGAAGAAAATTCCACCTTGGTTCCTTCGCCTCCAGAGGAGGGGTGTGCACGTGCCTGTGTCCTGGCTTGCTGTCTCCTGGTCTCCTACTTGATGCTTTTCAGCAGGGCTGTCCGGGCATTCACAACAGCTTTGAAGGCATCTTCGCTGCCTGGTGCCATGCACTTGTCAGGGTGGAGAAGCACAGCGAGCTTCCGATAGGCTTTATTGACTTCCTCCCTAGGAGAGAACCAGCTCTGCATCACTCACAGGTCAGCCACAAGCCTGTGCCTCAGCTTCTGGATGCATGTAATCATCTTGTACAATAAGTACATTCCCAAGAGTCACTACCTCTTCTCAAAGGGAGGCCAGCCACATAAATAACGCATAATCAAGACACAATGCAAAGTAAGTATGCAGACTTGAAGGAAGTGGTGAAGGAATGATCAGATGAAAACAGGCAGCACTGGGCTTCTAGCAGGCACTGAGAAAACCTCTGCTGATGGGAGGAATGAAGGCCTGGGCCCAGGGAAGCCTCCCAAGAAGCCTGCTGGGAAACGTGGGTTGGTGGGCTGGTGAGATGGCTCAGTGGTCTAAAGCACCTACTTAGAACAAGCTTAGCTAAATAAAGCACAGGGACTGTGGTTCAATCCCCCAGCACCACATGCTAGCCAGTCCCGCCCCCTGGTGGGCTGAGCTGGCCACAAACATAAATAAAATAAATATATAAAAAAAAGAATAGACCCAGAGCGCAGGCCCAGTGAGTGAGTGAGATGACCTGGGGCCTGCAGGATCCTGAATAGACCCAGAGCGCAGGCCCGGGGAGTGAGTGAGACGACCCGGGGCTGTGGGATCCTTAACAGACCCAGAGCGCAGGCCCAGCGAGCTAAAGGCCCAGCACTGAACGCTTCAGCAGAACTCCCCGCATAGAGGCTAGAGGCAAGACCCACCCAGCTGATTCAGGAGCAGAACATCTTGCCAGAGACACAGAAAGGCTTCAACTCTAACACCTGCAGCAGAAAGAAGTGGAGCACAGCATCCAGATCCAAACAACACCCACCTGGAGGAATCTGAACTTCGTAGATCCGGACCTGGTGCTAAGGTAATAACTCTATCTAAGCTCTACACCAAAGGTCAGAAGACAGTGGT